GTATTTACAAGTTGCTCTTATCATTTCCATAAGAAATGGCTACTTTTGCCCAAGAAAAACACTTAAAATATGAAGTTCAAAGATGGTTAGCACATCTAAGATATATGAGGATTTCTTGATAACATGGGATTATAAACCTATACATTATCAACAATTGTGTGAGTTGTGGGTAAAATTGAGTAAAGTATTCTTCTCCCAAGATAACTATTTTAAGGCTGATGTTAATTCTCTTATTAAAAATATAACTATTCTCATAAAACAAATGTTATCAAGAGATAACTTACTATCACAAAGCAAAAGCTGTCTAGGTTCTCAAATGCCAGAAACAAATAATGCAGAAATCACTTAAAGAAAGAATATGTCATACAAAAATGGAAGTCCCTGGTTACACTTTGTTCATCCTGTGGCAGAAAGCTGAACTATAAAAAAATTAATTTAAACATTTGTTAAGAAATATAAGCAAATTCTAAGCAGTAATATTGTATGTGAAATCCAAGGGCCAATACTGCTAAAGAGTACCTTAACTAAATACTTTCCTTACTATGAGAAGTAATTTTCTTTAAACAGGATAGCTTGTGCACAAAAGTTCAAGATTTCATACTTTGATTCAAAATCATTTACCACTATTTAGTCATAAACAGCTGTGAGGACATGAGCTACTAGACTATCTCTGAAGAATTAAGTACATTTCCTTTGATTGGGCAATGAAAAAAATTATCCTGGGGCAGAATTAAGAGGAGGGAAAAAAATCAAATAATTGCTAAAGAGACAAGTAAACATGAGTCAAGATTTTATGTAATACCTGAGAAACTTTAAAAACCTGCTGATGATCTGAATTCTGAATCTTTGGCAAAACAGACCATGAAAAAAAAATCTCTCCTTGGCCTGTGCCTAATAAAATCAAAGCATAAAAACAAGTTAACCAATGACACTGTGTCAGCCATTAATAAGAACAGCTCTCAGACAGTAAGTTCAAGGACAGACGAATAACTCGGCAAGCCACTCTCTCTATGTTCTCCCATACACACTCTGAAGAGACCATCGGATTCCTTTTCGTGTTTTCACGTTCACAGAACTCGGTTTCTGCGTGCAGTCTTCAGAGGTTCACTGTGAGTTCTCTAAAGGTTTCTTTATCATTGACTATTATAAATAATTATGTTCCGAGGCGGCAGTTCAAAGCTCAGTGCAGCACGCGAACACCACCCCAGGCAGGTCAGGTGACCTTTCTCCAATTCCCCTCTCTCTGGTGCCGAGAGGACAGACAAAGTGATATGTCTGTCATACGCCATTACCATTAGAACAGAATCTTGTTCTTTTATTACAACTGAACTCCGCCAGATTTCTCAGCAGGTATGCTAAGTGAAATCAATGTCTTGGATTTCCAGGCTGAGCTTGGAGGTCACAGCCACTCTATCATTTCTCAGCATTATCCTTTCTCGCGCGCGCACACACTCCCCGAGCCTCCAACTGGCACACAGCAGATTGAAAACAGCATGCATCAGAGGACTCACGCTGTACAATTTTACAGTCTTTTGGAGCCCCTTCCTTTTGATTCCCCCCTTCTATTTTTTTTGCAAATTGCAAATAAGTTTTGTTTGTGTCCTTCTCTGGAGTTGTGAGTCAAAGGCAAAGGCATACCTAGGAAGAAGGGCAGGCAATGAAACCCAGAGAACCTGATTTTTGACAGTTGCCAATAAGATCATTTTCCTGACAGCATCACCTGGATGTGGCTCACAAGTCCATTGTTCCAAACAATAAATGTACTTTCAATGTAAAGCATCAATTTGGTTTATGCCAGGTAGGTATGCAGACTACACAAAGCCCTTTAATAAAATAATTCTACAGTACATGAGAGGCATGAAAATTCACTGATAAAACACACGGACAATACCCCAGGACACTAAGAATTGATTGCATAAAAATGTAAATATAATAATAAATGACACTTATGTAGAAGTAAAATATCTTGCAAAGTGAATATGTGTATTATGCTGTGTATAAATGTCAATTCCAGTCTGTAAGAAACTAAATTTGTGTTTTAAAAGGGGCCCTCCTTATTTACTGTTGGTTTTATTTATTTTTGGCCATGTTCTTCATAAAGATGATGATGTTAATATTTATTGGTCAGGCTATTTTTGAGCCACTAAACTTTACTGCTGAGCTAAATGCAAACATATTTAAGACATCTTTGCTGACAATAAGTGCTTGTAGACAGTAGGCTAGAGGATACTGAGCAAAGAAAGGACTATTTTCATTAAATTGTTGTTACTTAAACAGAGGCACTTGATTTGTGGCTAAACTTTTTATGTATTTTACAATAATTTCAGAAGAAAGATATAACATCCTCAGTTTTATTAAACTTTATATGGTGGAAAATTCATAAGGGCTATATTTTAAAGTAACTGAACTTTAAAGATAAAATATAAATATATTTGTTAAATTAGGTATAATCATAGCTATAGAAACAATCCACTTTTTCACTAGTACTCAATAAACATAGGTATGTGAAACCATGAAATGTGGCAGAATTCTAACATTACTTTAATAATCAGTCTCTAAACTCAGTCTGTGGAGTCCTGTGAGTGTCTCGAACCATACAGTTCATAAAGCAGCATCCTCATTTTGGCAAAGCAAACCTTCAGTCACTTTTATTTTTGCCATGGTTATCTAAGAAAGTATCATTGTAGCAACTTCTCAATAAACATCTGAATGGATGAATGAATGAATGGATGGATGCATAAATGGATAAGGTCGACTAACATCAAAAGCTTCATAATTAAGTGATACGGAGAGAAGACATTAATAATACAACTTTGTAAAATAATAAATAATAAAACAAGATGACCTATACAAAATAATAATGAATATGAACTGTAATTAAGAAAATCAAAAAAGAGATGTCCTAATGTAACATCATGTACAATCTCATTATTAAATCAAGGGGAAAGAAGTAATGCCTCATAGAGTTACTTGTGTGTGACAATAACTATGCTGCTACAGCTATTTATTTTACTCAGTTAGCCTGTGTATGTAATATATTAAAACAGCTGGCCCACAAGACATCAAAATAACACTACTTTAAAATGAAATATTATTGACTAAATGTTATAATTATCAGCCAGTTTTAGGAAGTGTATGTTCTAGACAGTTTTCAGAGGGGAGGGGACCAGGGGAGCTGGATGAAAATGTGAAGGGATTACGCGGTAAAAATCCCTGGTCACAGACTAGTCAGTCACAAAGGTGCGGATTGCAGCCTAGGAAATACAGTCACTAGCTCTGCAATGCCTGTGTGCGGGGCCAGATGGATGCATGAACTGGCGGGGGGGGGGGGGGGGGGGGGGGGGGGGAGGGAGGGGGTCCACTCTGTAAAGTACACAATGTTCCAGCCACTTTGCTGTACATCTGAAACTAAAACAGAATAATACTGAATGTAAACTGTAACTGGAAAAAAAAAAGAGCATGTTCTGCTGTCATTATAAAGAAAAGCAGGCCAGGCCTCAGGTATGTATTAAGCACACAACATGCAAGGCCCATTACACTGCTGCAAGGGCTCTTAGGAGTGGCGTGTGTATATTTCCTAATGTCATGAGTGTGTACAATAATCTGTGCTATATATTGGCACATATGGCTGTGCAGTCACCTTCTAAGGCCCCTACCCAGGCTAAGGTATATCTCCATATATACTTCTCTCTCAACAACACAGCAAAGGACTTTGGAGGTTTGAGAAGCTAGAGGCTGGAGTGCACTCTTCACACTGACCCTCCTCTGCCCAGCCCACTCCCTGGGTTAACTGGTTAATGTGAAAGGCATCTGCCAGGGCACAAGAGTGTTAAAAGAAGTCCTGGACTCTTTTTCTCTGTTGATACTTTCTAATCTTTTCCCTGTGTATATTTTTTTCCAACTGTCATGACTCCTCTTAAACTGTTACTCTTCAGACATTTCAGCATGGCTTTTATGAAATGAAGAACAGAAGCCATTTTCTGGATAATTCAGCAAAAAACAAAACATTAGGGGTCCATAACTGTCACTTTTCTACTGAATGTTTTTCTAACAGTCAGAAAATATGTGTGATTATTTCCCTAAGTAATCTCAGAGAAAAGTACTTTATGGTTACTCTTCCTAATTCACCCAGAGAAAGTCTAACGTAGTCACATATCATCTAATAAGTAAGGTCTTTACAAACACAAAAACATTTCAGATTAATTTTTCTATATTCCTCTTCTTCTAAATCAAGAAACAAATTACTTAAAACTCCCCTGATCCTTTTTTATGTTCTCTCAGGAAATGTTTCTTCAGCTCCTAAAATTAAGCTATTTTTAGACAGTCTTACTTCTAATGCCATTATTATCTTCCTATCTTTACATGATAATTAATTAGGTGAATGATATATCCAAAATTCTATAACACAGTATAACTGTTATCGATAATCTCATTAGATAAATGATATATCCAAAATCCTATAACACAGTATAACAGTTATTGATAATCTCATTAGTAAATGATATAGTCAAAATTCTATAACACAGTATAACAGTTATTGATAATTAAATCAAACATTTTCTGTATGCCCTAACCGTACTCATATTTTAAATTCTATTTCAGTGGCCCCTTTTGGGAGAAAACCCTTGCCAGGATCTCTCACTGAAGGTAATCTCTCCATCCTAATAACATCCAAAGCATTTTATGTGCAACTCTTTATAAGACTTTGTACGATAGAGTTTGGGTATATATTTCATCACACTGTAAGCTACTTGCGTACAGTATATCTACCTTATAAATCTTACTATAGCTATCAATGAATGCATGTTTGTTGGATAAACGGATGACTAAATGTATGTATGTAATTTACACACACACCTCAATGATCCTACTAGACTCTTAATCTCCTTTAAGACCCACAGTTTGGCCCAGTTGCTGGCACATAATAGATATTCAACAAATATCACTGAGTGAAAAGTAAAACTCTAAGTGGTAAGACATGTAGTTCTTCAAAAGGGTACCTTGCTTTTGGGTGGCGGGCTGTTTGTGCTCTTGTCTGTGTGAATGCTGGTAGGAGATACAGCAGCACCAAGGTTGCCTTGGGGTATGCCTGGGAGCTTCCCTCCTGGGGACACCTGCATTGCAGCGAGCTGGGCAGCATATAACTGCTGCAGAAGAGAGAGAGAGAGAGGGACATTAAAAAAAAAGACTATCAGTGATAAAATTAATGCACCCCTCAGAAAAGTCCCTGTATTCAGATATGGCATTTTACCTATAGGTATTTGTGCTTAGTGCCCTGGAATATTTTACAGAAAAAAGTTGTCACCTAAACTTCCATGACTTACTTCTTAGGGGAGAAATAACAGACACCACCTGTAAGAGATTTCAGCTTCGGTATGTCCAGAGACCCTAAGAAAGTAACAGTCATTGTATTTACTCTTTCTCAATGTCTCTGGAAGGCAAGTATATCATTCTCCAGTCAAAACCTCTTTTTGCTCTATTTTACATTTTACACAGCATGTTAAAAATAAGGCAGTTTCATATACAAAGTGATTTTTCTTATTATTCATATTTCAAGTCCTGTACCTTCTTTTGTGTGTGTGTGACTGTTAGTTGTGTAGAAATACAAAAGCCATTGAGAAGGAATGGGAGTATTTGAAGAACATTATCTTGTCAGTCTACCTACACTGATAAAAATTAAGATGTTTGCCAGAAGTCCACTTTACTTCACAATACAGAAACACAGACAAACGTGAATGTACCTTTAGGGTTAAGGTTTAAGGAATACTGTCTAAACACACACTATTTCACTAGCCCATCACATAATAATTCTTATTGAATCCAATAAAATATTCTCGAAGTCTAATAATAGAGCAAAACTTTACTTTTATTATGATAGTTATACAATATGATATCTGAAAACAAGGAGGTTGTTTTAGATTCAAATAGTCACATCAAAAATTTAAATTAATACTCTTTTCATCTCTATTTAGCAGTTTGTGAAAAATTTTTAATCTGGATGGGGGGACAATATATAGAGCTATTTTTCCCCACTATGATCAGCTTCTCACTAGCCCCAGATTGTTGCTTTGGCCACCACGCACATCTGGTTTTCCTCGTTGGCCACAGTTTGGAAGAAGGGAATATCTATTTCCAATACATTTTAATTGGTGGCAAATAATATGTTTTTCTTTAATTTGCATTACTTTATTACAGAAGCATAAAAGGGCCTTAAGTCTTAGAAACTCAAATGTACTTCAGGTCTGCTGGAATTCTTAAATAAACCAGCAATTCTAATAACTGCTGGACCCTAATTTGGCTATTCACGAGTTAACAGGAAATTTTAGTGGACTTAATGGAGCTGACAGTGGTTCTCATATCCAGCTACCTATGTAAGGGCAGGGAACTTACCAAAACAATGCTGCTGTGACGTAATTCAACCTTACAAACAATTAGGTTCGTTTGTCTAACCATTAAAATGCTGTGTCGACTGATTTTAAAACAGGGAGCCAAGAGATAATTAATATTTTATTTATTACGCACTGTTGAGGCAAAATAAAAAAATAATAATCTGTGACTGCACTCAGTGATACCTCCAATCACAGAACCTCTGGCTGACCTTGTCGAGAGGGAACGGGTGAAGTGTAGTGGGGACTGGAAAGCCACCCAAAGTGACAAGCATCCTGTGAACTATCTAATATACTCACATGTTCTACATGCACATATAATTATATATATAATTTAAAACAGAAGTCTGGTTAACATTTTTCTTTAAAGGATGGCAGAGTTCAAAACAAGGTGTAGTATAGTAAATCTACTTTATCAGTTGTTTAAACATCAAAAATAAATTGAGACTTTCAATATGAAAAGCTAGAGCTTTAAGATAATGCTCACATCACGAGGTTAACCAGACTAACAGAATAACTCTTTTGCTTTGGAGAATAACTTGACTCTTATCTTGAAACTAATGAACATCCAACTCCATAGAGCATTAGGTTTGCCAGTCTTTATTTTACTTAAAATATTGCATTTTTAAAATTCCACCCCCATCCCTACAGTAAATCACACAATGATTTTTTTAATAAAAAAAACAATCACATAAGATTAAATTAAATCTACTCATTGATTACTTAGTGTCTTCTTGGTGACCCTCTGTTCGTAAGTCTGTTTCTATGTGCATAGATATATACAAGTAACCCTCACTTTTGTCCAAATTGTTCCATAAACCTACAGTTTTCTCTCTTCACCATTTTAAGCTCCTTCAAGGACCATGGCCTCTACTTCTGGTGGAATGGTTAAAAGTAAGGCCAACCTCAATTCTAATTCCATGTCTGAGCTAGTGACCTTGGACAACTAAACTGAGGCAAAAATCCATTATATGTAAATTCAAGGATAAATAAAACTGAGTTTAGGAGGGTTGCTGTGAGGTGCAAATCACATAATGAGTATAAAATACTCAGAAAAACACATGGCAAAGAATGCTTGATAACTAAATAAGAATGCTCAGGGAATTAAATATGCCAAGTAAGAAACTAGGTCGTGAATATATATCCGCTGGCATCCTGCTATATACACTGGACTATAGTAGGTACAGTGGCAGATACAGAAAACATATAAACATCATTTCTCTCCTAAGTGAAGACATAAACATAAAACAATGAGACTATTAATGTACCATAACCATGTGCCACCGAAGGCAAAGAAAACGAGTCAGTGCATACTGATACATTTTCACATAAGAGATGTCGCTAAGCTGGGCATAACAGACGGAGGTGGCGTTCTAGAAGGAGAGGGTCACGTAAAGACAGGCCCAGGAGCAGGAGTGAGCTAGTGCTGCAGAGGGAAGGAGGATGGTGTGGCGCAGCGAGTGGTGGAGAGGCGGTGGCAGGAAGGACAGTGACCTAACTGAGCGCGTGCCTGGGAAGAGTAAAACGGTGCTGGGTTTGTAGGCTTCGTTCACCTCATAGGAAACCTTGAAATACAGACCAAACAGTTTAAATTTAATATGTTGACAAGAGAAAGCCACTGAATGTTTGAAAGCAATGTATATGACATGTTTAACTAAAGTAAAGATAAGGCAAGATTGCCCTGGCCGGTTTGGCTCAGCGGTTAGAGCATCGGCCTGCGGTCCCGAGAGACCCGGGTTCGGTTCCCGCTAAGGGCATGTACCTCGGTTGCAGTTTGTCCCCGGCTCTGGTCAGTCGTGCGGGTGGCAGCCACTCGATGTGTCCCTTCACGTCGATGTTTCTCTCTCTCTCTGTTCCTCTCTCCCCCTCCTACTCTACCTGAACAAAAAATGGAAAAATATCCTCGGGTGAGGATAAAAAAAAAAAAAAAAGATAAGGCAAGATGACCAGTGAAGATGTTATCAAAATTTAGTAGTGATATATATATATATATATATATATGTATATTTTTTTTTTTTCCCCATTGATTTTTAGAGAGAGTGAAAGCGAGGGAGGGAGGAGGAAGGGGAAGGCAGGAGAGAGAGAGAGAGAAAGAGAGAAACATACATGTGAGAGAGACACGTCGATTGGTTGCCTCCCGCACTTGCCCCAACAGGGACCAGGATTGAACCTGCAACCCACATACGTGCCCTTGATGGGGCTCAAACCCACGACCTTATGGTGTGTGGGCCAATGCGCTAACCACTGAGAAATGCAGGCCATGGCAGTAGTGATATTTTTTAATGATAACTTGAGTTGAAACATCACAGCTGTGACAATTAAGAAGGAAACATGATTCCAAGTTCATATTAGCTGGAGAAAAGAAACAGAACAGGATGAATCATTTTACGTCTATAAAGTCTTCATTTCATAGATATAATACATAAGTATTCACCTATCATACATTCTCATTAGGGTATATAGTCATTGTATTATCTTTGTAAGACAGCCAAAACACATAGACTTCCTTCCTTTTTTGAAAAAGAAAGAAGTAAGTCACACAGATAAATTTTGTTATAACTTTGCATTGTAATAGTAAAAATGCTAGCACGATTCAGTCATGGGCTTCCCCTAAAGCAGAGTTCGTTGAACACTTCTTTAAGTATCAAAAGTATGATGCACTGTATCTATAACAATATGAGCTTGAACTGTGTTTATCTTGGCCACACCTAATCAGTGTTTTGTTTGTTTGTTTCTTGGCATGAACCATGTGTGCCAAAGCACTACTGGGCAGACAGCGGGCTGGTAGTTCGTTAGCAGGCATTCATGGTGCTAAGCTGTAACGATCCAGTGTAGGGTTAAAAAAAAAAAAAGTCTGCTGGAATGATAAAGAACAGATGTATATATTTTTTGTCCTTTATTGATTTTAGAGAGAGGAAGTGAGAGGGAGTGAGAGAGAGAAACATCAATGAGACAGAACATTGATTGGCCGCCTCCTGCATGTCCCCCACTGAAGATTTGGCCCACAATCTGGGCATGTGTCCTGAACAGGAATCAAACTGGCGACCTCTTGGTGCATGGGTCGATGCTCAACCACTGAGCCATACCGGCTGAACAACAACTGATATTTTAACTTGTAGTAAATAATTAGTACAGGTAATGGTAGTAACTAATTTGCACTAGTTAATTAATTGCTAACTTGGTGAAAATAGTACAATTGTATTTTAATAACATGTCTTTTAACCAGTTAGATACAACTGTATTTTCTTTTTGAAGGTAACTGTTTTGTTCAGATATCCTAAGCTAGTGGTTAGTACTTTTCAGTGCTAGGGGTGGAGAAATTCCACAAAACAGCCTATTTAAATTCTAAGGTAGACTATTTCATTAATCCCTTGAGATGGTAAATTCTTGCCACTTCTCCCTAATAAATTATTTTCCCCAAATTGCGAAAAACACAACCTTTCCCATTGGCTGCTGGCCTAGTGCCTAATTGCCATCTGGAGTATTTGGATTCAAAGCATTAGATAGTGATGTCAATATCTATCACTATTTGTTTCCTCAAACCATTTACTGATCAGCAAACTCCTTGAAGGCAGGGATTATATCTCTATTATTTAGTGTTTTCTCAGAAAATCCTAGAAGCAAAAAAAAAAAAGAAATGGAAAAGGCAGAAATGAACTGAAAAAAAAATATCATTTAATTTTAACAAAACTACATTTCCAGGACATATTTAATAATGATCTTGACTATATAAATTTTAAATATCTGTAAAGCAATTGACA